AAACGCTGATGTACAAGCAAAACTAGTGACAGTTCAGTACTATCTGCTATCCTGTTCTGCCTAACACGTAACTGGGGGAAATAACCGGTGTTGACACATGGAAAATTCGAAAGGTAATTTGCAGAGCATACGTTTTGCTTTCAATAAAATTTCGTTAGGCCTTTATATTTATACCGTTATGCAGCTACATAAAATACGCGGGTAAACAGAAAAAATCTTGTGATTGACTCCACGTCCACTTATGAGCCACTACACACACAACGCACATTGGGTTGGTGGTGAGTCGGCTGGCTGCCTTTTCAACCACGGTAAACGGTGATAGGTTCAGACTCGCGGAATGAGCTAAGGATCAGCCTTGCCTACATACTGACTTACGTGCATGTCAAGAGTCAAATTTGACATTAAGAATGGCCTAATTAGTCTCATGCACCTTAAAAGCTGGCTTAAGTCAGCGATAAGGCTGGAGTCTGCTCTTCCGAGGGTATTGACGCCTCCGCTACCTATGGCCGCCAGCCAATCTCAGGCTAGAGTGTAGCGCTAGATTAGGGCAGTTCTAAAGCTCGTACTTAATCTGGTTTGAGCTAGTGCTGATTTTTGTGCGTAGTCTTCCGGTGTGTTACCCACCCCCATTATTGAACGCCTAGAGGCTTTCTCACGTACGATTGAAGCGCTGAAATAAGACAGGGCTAAAGCTCGTACCTTATCTGCCGGGCATAGTCGTCTGGGCCGGGGTTTACTCCCAGCCCCTGCCATCGACAATCCACTGCTTGCCGTACGTTGGTATGCGACGCTGGCTCAATTCAACAGTAAAGCTAGTGTGCCCGGCACGACCGGGGACGCAAGGATATCCCAAGCAATCCAAGAAAGACGACTGAGGTAGGCTGGACACATTCTTCACCGTCAACCGCACGAGCTCAATGTTACCGCTTTCGACCCGAAACCGTTACCTAATTGAAATTGGAGGTCAGCTCAAAACCCGACTCGGCTCAGTCCGTCAGGACATGGAAGTGGTTCTTGGACCTTCGGTATCCGGCGCTGGCGAAGGGAATGGCTCGAACTGTTCAGGTCTGCTGCCATGGATCGTCGCGCGTGGAGAAGCACCGCACGGGACATTATCGAGGCCGGCTAGATCAGTCATGATCGCAGGCGCAGCAAGTAGAAGTACGTACGTACGAGTGAAGCGCTGAAATAAAACAGCGCATAAGCTTGCACCGAATCTGTCAGGAATATTCGGTCTGGTCTCAGTTCACACCCTGCCCCTGCTATCGACAACCCGCTGCCTGTCTTACGCTGGCTTGATTCAGCACTAAAGCTAGTGTTCCGGGGCCGGTAGTTCTTACAA